AATTAGGTTCTTAAAAATGGATGCTTATTAAAAACAGAGCAAGTGTGCCTGTACGACAAGGATGTGAAGGGCAGAAAGAAAGATGGCGGCATGTCAGTGCTGAGCCATGCATGCGCTTCCTCCTGGGAGCTTGACATCAAGAATACCTGGAGCCTTTGCCCATCAGTCCCCCAGAAGGGGACAGAGGCTCCCGAGGGGGAGCCAAGGGGAGTGGTAGCCCCTGATGTCACCCAGAAAAAGATTTGTGTGGGGGGTGCATGCAGATGTCCATCAAGGGATAAAACTTCCCCTGGTTTTCTCAAGTGGGAGGAAAGGAACACACAGCTGTACCAATAGCCCTAGCCACATGGGGGCTGGGACCAGGGAGCATGTGCAGGCCAGGCTACTGCCCACCCCTCCTTCTTCACCCTCAGGAGCCCTGAGCTGCCTCTCACAATCACAGGACTCTACACCCCAGCTAGTCCATAGACCCCGAGATGCCAAGGCCCTGGTCTGCCCCCTCAGTGTTTCCAGCACATGAATGGGTGGCACGAGCCCAGATCAACCCAGCTGGTGTCCCTCCCTCCTTGCCCCTCTTCCATTCCAAGTGTGTAGCCTTCAGAGTCTCCTGGACTTTCTAAACATCGACAACCTGCCCTCTGGATGCTTCCGACGGCCCCCTTGTCTCTGTGGCCTGCTCCCAGTTCCCCAGGCATGCGTGGGCTTGTCTGAAGACGTCAGAAGTCAGCTCAGCAGATGTCCCCAGGTGATAAGGGTCAAGGCCCGGCCTGGAGCCCCAGATTCTGAAAGAGGTGGCCTGCAGACCCCTGCGGCCCTAGCCCCACGTCAGGCCCACGTGGCCGTGCTCACGTGGCCCAGACACGTGGTGCTGGGGGCACAGAAGGTGGCTTCTGACACGTGAACTCCGTGTCCTCCATGTTCTGAGATCACTGCCGTCCATCCAGGGCTTACACTAGAAGCTCGGGAGGTGCCCCACCCCCTCCCATCCTTCCTCACCTAAAGCCTCCATCCTGGGCTAAGGTCAGACCTCCCACAGCCCACCCTAGTCCACAAGTAGCTCTCACCGCAGCCCCCTGCCATCTGCCCACCTTGCTAGCGTGCAGATGCTCCCTGAATCCAGCCCACCCGGCTCCTCCAGGGCTGGACATTAGGGAAGAAGGTGGTTGCTTTTTTTCCTACCCTCAAAGAGGAATGAAAGAGGCGAGGGGTGGAGCCTCTGGTCCTTGTTTCTGAAGACAAATACAAGCACACGACACACAAATGCGTACACCTGGTCCACTACAAAGAAAGGAAACTCCACAGAAACAGAGTTCCTAGGGGGTGGGGGTGGACACCAGCACAAACGACTCCCCTCGTCTCCCCACACAGACCCGAGGGGGGGCAAGTCGACACAGTTCCAACAAAGGCATTTTCCAAAAAAAAGATAATAATAATAATACAGAGCACATGGAAAACAGTCAGGAAAACAGGCCTTGAAACGGGCTCTGGGATGCCAGGTATTCGGGACGGCCGGGGTTCAGGGTCTGCGAGTCTAGACTAGGGGAGCTTGCCCAGGATTAAGAAGGGGCTTATTTCAGAGAGTTGCAAGAACAAGGTTCCTGGTGCTCCGCCCAGAGTCCCTGGGCCCCTGGGCTCCTGGGTCCCCTGCATCGCAATGCTGAGTTCCCCTGCATCGAACACTCCCAAGACAGTAGGAAGGAAGTGGGCCTCCTGCTCCCTAATCTTGGCTGCTCTCACCGACCCTCCCCCCCCGCCTCCTGCCACACACACACACACACACACACACACACATACACACACCCCTGAAGACTCTCAGGTGACCCCAGCCCAGGGAAGTCCAAGATACCCACTAGGCTGAACACCCCTTGTCCGTGCAACCTTCTGTAGCCCGCCCAGGGCAGAAAGGGCACTGGCAGCAAAAACGAGCCTGTGCCTCATGGCCAACCTCAACAGGGAGGTGCAGCCACTTGAGCTCACTAGGAATGAGAGAGGGAAAGTGGAATGGCCCATCATACAAGCAGGACATCGCAATGGCAGGCCAAGGCCAAGGTTTTCCCGAGCCAGCTCTGCCCTGCCAGGTGAAATGCACCTGGTCAGCTCATGGCATGGGAAGGACCAGCCTTCCTGCCTCCATCTCAAGCCAGGGACCAGAGCTGGACAGGAAGACCTTCCTTCCCTTGCTCCCTGTCCCTTGCCTTCTTTCCTACTTTCTTCCTTTTGTCCATTCATTCAAACACTCACTCCAATTTGTAGACATCAAAAGCTCAGCTTTACATGCATGGTATCTCTTGGACTGTGAAGATCTCTCCTTGCGAGGCCCACTGGTCAGCTCATGCTGGGCCTGTCCCTAACTCCCTTCCCAGCTCCCTACATTTCATCTTGCTCCCTTTCTCTCGCTCTTCCCTGCACCCTCTCCTTGTTATTAATCTGGACACCTAGAATCAGGACCTAACTTTCTCTATCTATTCACTTGCTCATCTTTCCTTCCTTTTTCTGATTTTTCAACTTATTTGCCTCTTGTGAATAATCAACATATTACTGGCCCTGATTTAGTCACTTTTTACATTTAAGTACTTTTGCTTTTATTTATGCACCTCAATTGTAATATGTTTTATTACAGCGCTGGAGAATGGAGCTTTATTTGGGGGCTGGGACTTTTTCTATTTTTAATTTCAAAGGTATAATGTATTTATCTATTTAAGGAGGATGTATACAAACTTATTTTCATCCCTGTTGAGACAAAGTCTCTTAATTATTCATTTATCACTCTGGTTATTGGCTTATTATCTTTTATTTATTTATTTACTTACTTATTTTTGGTAATTCTCTTCTGCCTCCCCTCAAGGAACCTGGGTCTAAATTATCTCATCCATCTTGAGGGTTAATGAAAACCTCTACTAATCCTAAGGGATCTTTCTCTTACAGATGCTGGTTTCTGCACTACTGGTGTTTATTTTGTTTTTCTCATTCATTTGGTTGTTTCCTTCTCTCTTTTTTATGTTTTCTAACTCTTAGGGACCTCAGGTGCTTGGGATGAGATAAGCAAAAGTCCCCTGGCTGTAGGGGACACTTCCATTTCTAAGTCAGTCATTCATGTATTCATTCTTTCTTTCGGTCACTCTTTCATTTGAATACTTATTCTTTTATTTATGGACCTCAGGTGCACAGAATTGGATTAACCATAATCTGAGATTCCCTGAGCCTTGTCAGCACTGGTCCATGTGGGGGTTCTCTTTTGTTCCTTAATTCCTTGTTCTGGTGATTTGGTTTAGGATTTATTTAACTATCTCAGGAGCCTTGTTTTTGAATCTTGCTGACGCAAATAATCTTTGATTCAAGAATCCTTGAATTCTTGCTACCGTCTCATTTTTCGGGGTATTTGTATGGTCCTGTCTCTCATTTATGAATTTATGCATTCAATGTTTTTATTGCTAATATATATATCACCCTAATTTTCTAGATCCTACTTGCTTTCTGTTTCGCATTCTTCTATTTTTATTAGAAAAATAGTATATTTCTATTTAGTAGAACACTACTTGGGTGAAATGGATTCATTAAAAAAATCATCATTTCTCATTCTCTCAGTTACTCCTCAATTTCCTTCTCCTTTTTTATATTTGCTCTTTGACCGATAAAGGCCAACTGTTACTATTTATTACATCTAATGAACAATGCTTATTAAGTACTCATATAGGAAGTGCCCTTTCTTCTATACAATTAACTTCAGTTTTGCTCTATACCTTTTCTTTTTTGCATCCTTGCCATTTTTCTAGCTCCCTTTCTTGTTTGCTTGTCTTGCATATCTCTATCCTATCTTTTATTTCTACCATATTTATTACTCTTTCTCAACTTCAGAGCTACGGTGTTGTTTGTTTGTCTTGCAATGCTGGGAACCCATGGGAACCCATAGCCTGGCATATGCTAGACCCACAAGACACCACCGAGCTACCTCCCAGCCCAGGGGCACAATTTGGATTTAATGTTCATTATTTGTGCTAAACAACTCCCCTCTCATTAGCAATTACTCCTTTGATTATCTTGTCTACTTCTTTCTCTTTTCCCTTTTCATTTTTCTCCACCTTATTGTTTCTATCAGTCTTTCAAGCTTTCTTTCTTTTAGAGATTAGCCCCAAGGGTCAGATGACTCTCCAAGTGCTCTCTGACACCCACCCCCGCCATCGATGAATACAAATCTTTTTCTCATCCATCCATTCATGCATTCACGCAGCCATTCAGTCTTTCTTTCTATTTAAATACCCATTTCTACACTTTCAGAGGGCAGGTGCGCCTAATTGGATACATTATAATCTGCAGTTAATGGGTGTCCCCTCCTGGCCTCCTGGAGTCCTCCCTCACAGGGCTGGGTCCTGGGCCCTCCCAGAAGCACAGATGGGAATTAACTAGTGTGCTTGCTTGGCGTGCCCCTTGCCTTTCTGTTCGTGGAGGGACGTCGTCTTCTATCTGTGTTCAATTATTCGTTAATATATTACCGTGGGGGAGGGGAGGAGTGTGCGTGGGTGTGGGTGGGTAGCTGTGGCTAGTGTTTAAACTCGGGGCCTGGCACTTCCTAGGTAGGTGGTCTACCACTTGGGCCCTTCCCCCTATCCACTTTCCTTCTTTTCTAGGTAATTCTATCCAGTACTTGTGGGTTTTCTCACTCTCTTCTAAATTTATGTTTTATTCTTCTATCCACAAACCTCAGATACCTGGATTCAAATGACATACTATCTAGTTATCACGGCATTAACTTGATGCCAGGTTCTGTGTGGCCCTGAGTCCTTAAGAGGTCATTATTTTATTGGTTGTTGTCTTGATGTGTGTGGGTCAGAGAATGAGGGATGGGTAGATCCTCAGCCCGATTTACTCACTTCTGTATCTGTCTGGGGATCTAATCCTTCACGCTGCCTTCGCTCATCCAGCCATCTATGGTAGAAAGTAACCAAGGCCAACCTCCCCAGAAAGAAACTAAGACAGTCACATTCTTGTGGCCCACCTCTGGCTTCCGCCCACCACGTTCACCACCACCATTTGCACACCCACAACCCAGAAACACACATGACAGATGCAGAGCAGGGGTGTGGTTTATGGTCCTTTACTAAGCCATTCTCTCGGGGTTCGCGTCCTAGACACAGCAGGGGCAGACCCACAACTGAGCCCCCTCCCTCGGCAGGGCAGGCGCTTCCCGCTCTGCCCCTGTGGACCCCAGTGAATGGCCATCCCCATGAGAAACCTGTTTCAAGACCCCAGAATACACAGAGACATACACGATACAGTCTTCGCGGTGGGAAACGACGGACACAGTTCGTTTTTAAATAGGTGGCTTTGTCTACAGCAATATAAAAATATTTTGGCCTTTCAAGGCAAATACAAAAGAAACCCCCATTACCACCGCTGAGTGTCTCAGTCTCAAACAATAAAGAACTTGAAGAGGTTTAGCCGGAAACTTTGAAGACAGAAAACCTGCCCATTACATTTTCCAGACATCTCGAGGGGGTGAGCACAGGTCATTGGAGCTCGAAGCCCGCTTTAGAGGCTGGTCCTTGGCCTGCGTTTTCTCCTCCGCCCTTTGAAGGCCCCCCAGCTCACAAGGGCACTTCCACGCTAGTCTGGCCCTGGGGCACAAGGCCAAAGAGAGACTCAATAATGAAAGGACCATTCATTTGGAAGAGTGAAAGAGAAGACATTCTTTGGGGGTCCCACACTTGAAGCATCTATAGAATTCTTTTGCTGCAGAGACAACACAGGAGGCTGGGGGTTCCCATCTCTTGAACACAAGCCCCAGGTCAGCCTTCAGCGTGGCTCATTGGACACCCACTCCCGGGGGAGGGGGGCAGGAGTAACCAGCCCGCCTGGCAGAGTGGTCTGGGTAGCAGCCCATCCCTGTCAGCTGTGTGTGTGTGTGTGTGTGTGTGTGTGTGTGTGTTGTGTTGTGTTCTGACCACTTACGATTTTAGAGCTGGAGGTTTGCTGGGGGGGAGGGGTGTGTCCAGATGTCCAGGTGTCCAGGTGTCCAGGGGTCCAGGGGTCCAGGTGTCCGAGGGTCCAGGGATCCTGGGGGTCCAGACGTCCAGGGTCCAGGCGTCCGGTGGTCTGGGGTCCCACGCAGATTCTAGGTGGTGGCTTGAGCCAGAGGAGAAAACACAAGTCATACAAGAGAACCCCACCTGATATTTACAGTTCCACTATTTTATCGGTTGATATCTTGATACCTGTGCACCAGAGAACAAGTGGTGGGTATATACTCAAAATATATGAACATATTGAAAATATACTTAAACTACTGACTCAAAAGGGAGGACGAGGCTGGCGGCTTGGGAGGAGAGTTTTGCTGGGAACAGGGGCTCCCTAACTTCCAACAAGTATTAAGTCCATGAAATCAAGCATGGCTTGGTCCAGCTTCCTCATCTGCCTGCCCACTGCTCCGCCAGCTGCCCCTAGAGTGGCAGGGAAGGGGGGGTGACAGGTGCAGAGACAGGCAGAGGCTCCTCACCCAAAAGCCCTAGGGTGGGTGTCTTATAAGGAGTGGGGGCTGAGGACTGCTCTGTGGAAACCAGTGGTTGAGGGCTACTACACAGTGAGAATCAAGTGCCACCCCATGATGGGAACCCACTCTCTGCCACCCAGGGCACTGGCGGTCCTCAGAGATGCCAGTGGTCCTGTGAGAACTTCAAGGGGCAAGTTAGACAGACCAGGGAAAAGAGCAAGGCGCAGAGCCAGCAGGGCCAGGGTGTGGGCTGGGCTGGGGCTGGGGTTGTAGAGTTTGTATTCCCTTTCCCACCAAACACCAGCCAGGATGCATGGTCATTTCAGCCTGCCTGGACAGACATCTTTATCCTAGTCATGATGGAAAAGTTCTAACAGCTGCAATCCCAGTTTACTCAGGAGGCTGAGATCTGAGGATCACAGTTCAAAGCTAACTTGGGCAGGAAGGGAAGACTGTGAGACTCTGATTGCCAATTAACTAGCAAAAAATCAGAAGGAGACCTGTGGTTCAAGTAGTAGAGTGCTAACCCTGAGCAAAAAAGGCTAAGGGATGTTGTCCAGGCCCTGAGTTCAAGCCCTACTATCAATAGGCACACAGACAGACAGACAGACAGACAGACACACGCGCGCGCACACACACACACACACACACACACACGCAAATCTAATAGGCACCATGAAATACCTCAACCAAATATTATATCACATCAACTATTTTCTTTGATGTGAAGGCAAACATATACAGCAAAACCCAAGAACATACCACACAAAGAAGAAGGCCTAATGATGCCAACTACAGACCTGACAAGAATATTGTCTCTTCACTGCTACGGATACAAGATGTTACTAAGAGGGTAATAGCCTGGGAGGGAGGTATATGGGAATTCTGTGGATTTTTCTCTACACTGAAAATAAAAAAAAGCTTAGGAAAAAAAACAGCCTATTCATTCAAAAAATATTTAAATGGGTTCATTTACAAAGAGAGTTACACCAGATACTGGTGGCTCACACCTGTCATCCTAGCTACGCAGGAGACTGAGATCTGAGGATCACAGTTCAAAGCCAGCCTGGGGAAGGAAAGTCTGTAAGACTCTTATCTCCAATGAACCACCAGAAAACCGGAAGTGGTGCTGTGGCTCAAGTGGTAGAGAGCTCGCCTTGAAATGAGGAGCTCAGGGACAGCGCCCAAGTGAAGAGTTCGAGCCCATGACCGACCAAAAAAAAAAAAAAAAAGTGTGTCACTAACATCTGCTCATGGTAAACTACTAAGCAGGAAAAGAGGGTGAACAGAGGCTGAATGCTAGAGGCCAGGACCAGGGCTGGGGCTGGAGAGGGCCAAGAACCGAGGGCCCACAGTTTATGTAGAACCCTCTGGAGACTGTTTCCTGGTAGAAAAGGTAGAGGCAGGGGCTTAAGGAGGACCAGTGCAGAGGCCAGGAGGCTACCTGGAGGCAGACAGGCTTGGAAAAGCATGTGTGGGGCCGGGGCTCTGAGATGTAAGACCCACAGACCTCAGAGATGCCCCATGGCATCAGATACCTGCCCCATTGGCCCCCTAGGAACCCCAAAGGAGAAAGAAGAGCTCCCTATGTCCCTAGCCTTGAGGGACACCTCTGGTAACCTTTCCTCTTCCAGTCCCAGGCAGGTCTCTGGCCAAGTCACACCAAGACCCACCAGGGCACAAGTAGGATACCTCTTGGTCACAACTCACCCATGAACCCCTTTCCTTGGCCTGTGCTCCCCCAACATACCTGTTCCATAACTACTTTATTTGAAAACTTGAAAATAAGCTCATGGGTGGCCCTGGGGCACAATCTGGCTACCTGACCCAGGCCCAGGCCCACCTCCCACATCCTGAACATGGCTGGAGACGGGCCAGCCCCTCTCCGTGAGCCCTGCATAGCTGGGGGGCGTGCATCACAGCCAGGGTCCTAAGGTGACAGTAAGAACACACAGCAAGACCAAACACTCTGCCACTTCCCACAGGAATATGAGCCGGGTCTTTTGGTCTGCTGCTTCTGTTTGGGTCTATTTTGTTTTTAATAGGAGCGGGGAAATCAGAGGCTGCTCAGGGCATCTGGGTTTTCTCTTGCCTGTGCTGCAGGCCCCCCCGCCCCCCGCCACCGCCTCCCCTGGACCCTCAATGCTCCCGACTGTCCTTAATTAACTCTGCACGCAGACCCCAGGCTGCTCCGCCAGGATGGAGCCAGGCAGAGTCGTGCCTTGCTTAAGTGCTCCACGTACCAGCCCCTGGGCCTACTGCAGCGCGGGGCTGGATTCTCAACAAATGTGAGGAACACTGCAAAGATGAGTCACTGTCTAGAACCAAAGGAAAATACAAGGCGTCCTTATCGTCCAGAGGGACAATTGTTACCAGCCTTTAATCAGAGCCCACACACATGGATGCTCCTCGCCACCCTGAAAGCGTTGGTAGACAGACGCAAGACCCCTGCCCCCTCCCCACATGACTTAACTAGAACATTCTAACTATGTATGCATCTTGAGATTTTTTTTTTTTTTAAGGAAACTCTCTTCTGGAAGTAAACAGGACCCGGTTGATCCAGTGTTGTCTCCTGTACAAATATCTTATGGATGTTTCAGAGAGAAAAACGTCAAAGGGTTCTTTTGACTAAGATGCTGACTTCAAGAAGGACAGCCTGCAGTGACACAAATCACCGCCTCAGTCCTCCCGGCTCTACCTGTTGGGTAAATACCGTGCTCTTCCAACTTCCCGACACACGTAAGCTCTTTACGGAACTAATTTCCTGTACCTTTGAGAGGCCTGGGCCCTGGACATTATAGACCCATTTAGGAAAATAGGAACGGTAATTGGGACATCTTTTGAAACCGTGTCCCCTCCCCTGTACCGGCCCCCGCCAGGCCCCTCTAATTTTAGTCGGTCCCGTTACAGAGGATGTTTACATGTGCCTCTTCCTGGAATTTCACCTCTCTGCTTCGGGAGCAGGCAATTAGAGAGAATTAGGGCCTATTTGGCACATGTTTTCGTTAATGGATAGAGAGGCACCGGCAGCCTTGGGCAGGCCGTCTGCCTGTCTAATTGAGGCTGGCAATTTTTTGATTCCTCATTTTAGCTCACAGGTATTGAAGCAACCAAGGTCACCAAACAAAAGCTGCAGCCCACCATGGTCATCACTGGGCGTGGGGTCTGAGGGAGGCCTTAGCAGTGCCACAGCACCACCGCAAAGCACCCAGAAAACCCAGGGCCCTGCGCAAACCAGGCCACAGGCAGCCTATGGCACAGGCCACTGGCAGCTTTGGCTCTTTTTTTTTCCCAAGTTGCCACCCTGACCATCTATACAGAAAATTCTGGCTAAGGGGGTCAGGAAGCCAAGCGGGGAGAGGGTCTCATGAGCAGAAGGTACAGAGTGGGTCTCCTGAGACACGCCGGGAGCCAGGCCCTCACGGCAACCTCCTTACACAAGAGTTACTCTCTGGCCAAAAAGTGGTTTTCCAGCCAGGCTGGAGGCTGACGTGTTCCCTCTGCCCCACATGGGAGGCGGCCCCCGAAGCTGCCCACAGCCAAGACCGCAGCCTGCCCACAAAGCTGACTGGGGTTGACCAACGCCTGTGACCACTGACCACACTGGTCAAGCAGGAGCCGGTGGCTGGCAGGAGGCTTCGGGTCCAGGGCTGGCCGCCAGAGCATGCTCTGGCCTTTACTGAGGCCCTGGGCCTCTGGGGTCTCTAAAGCAGGGGTTCAGGGGGACCCAAGGTCCACAAAGTCCCAAATCCTAGCTGACCGGCAGAGAAGCCTGCAGGGAGGGACCTGGAGTCCCACAGCACTACTCAGACAACCACAAGCCTGCAGTCCCTCATCCTTCAGACGGGGAAACGGAGACTCAAGGGACTGAGATTGCACCCACAGTCAGGCAATCATGTTAGTCCATAACCACAGGCTAGACCCAGACCCAGACTCTGGAGACTTCTCTAAGATGGCTGCCTGTGCAGAATCCCAGCGGCCATGATCTCCAGCTCTCTCTTATCACCTACAAGTCCAAGTCACAGATGGTGGCCTACTAGGGGGCTAGTGGGGACCCAGACTAGAAAGCTGGGGAGCTTCTGTGTCCTCCTTCCCTCTCCTATACCCTGGGCTGCCTCTCGCTTACAGGTGAGGTACAATGAGCAGACTGCTACCTTATTCTGCAGATGGAGAAACTGAGGCACAGATACCAGCAGACACAAAGACAAGTCTGCAGCTCCATCCTCTCAACTTTGCCCTGGCTGTCTGGAGGGGGTCCAGTTCTTGGGGAATTCAGGACAGCCATAGAGCCACCCACTTCCCCTAGGGGCCTCTGCCCAGCCCCTTCCCTCACCACACACACCTGTCACAGAGTTGGGAGCACCCACCCTGCATAAGAAGGACTCCATGAGCGCCCACAAAAAGGGCTAGAAGATGGAGGAGCCGCCCAGCAATGGTCCCCAGCGCCCAGCACTGGCACGCAGTCAGCCCCCGGCCCCTCTGACCATCCTCCTTCCCCAGCTTCCCGTTCTGGGGCTCTGTGTCTCAGCCCCGTGCTGGCTGCAAGGCAGTCTATCAGGCACCAAGGCCCGGTTTGATCGAATTCTTATTCCCAAGCCCAGCACTGCAACCCTCGTGTCGGAAAACGACGTGTACAAACCCAGCTCCAGGACAGAAGCATATGGGTGTCCCCAGGGTCACATAAGCGGGTGGCTGGTGACAAGGGTCATTGTGCCTCCTCCATCCAACACACACACACACACACACACACACACACACACACACACAGTCCTTTCTGGGAAGGTAATTGAGGTTTGCTTCTTTTCTTCTGAAGAAAGGGCACCTTCCATTCACAGCACGCATTCAGAGGACCTGGGAATCCCATCTGCACTTGCTCTCCCAACGACCCCCAGGTGGCTGCGCTCCATGGGGTCCCCCACATTCCTTTCTGCCTGCGTCTTTGTCTCCAGCCACAGAAGCCTGGGATCAGGGCTAAGAGTCTCCTCCGTAAGCCCCTGCAAAGCCCCTATTCATTGAGAGAAGACAAACCAAGCAAAAGGTGGTGGGATGCCCTCCTCCTGCCCCCTCCCAGGCGGGGCGCGGGGAGGAAGGACTCTTCATCTGCATTTTTCTCTTAAGCCCAAAGAAACTGGAGAGCAATTAAGAAAGCCAGGACGATCTCCTCCAGCACAGCCCTCTCCTTAATTACTTCTCTCCCACACACACCCCTTGTGAGTTGGGGGCCCTGGGCTGGCCTCGGTCACCCACCACCTGCCCCGGACACCAGCCCCCACCTAGGCTGCCGGGACTCGGGGGTGAGTCTAGAGACTTGGTGTCTAGAGACTTGGGGGAGGCTTGTTTTGTGAGAAGCTCCTGAGAGTCGCCCATTTTGCAGTGTGAGCTCAGGGCCTGGGCACTGGGCACTGGCCTCAGGACCAGACAAACCTCAAAGGTGCTAGATACTCCAGCAGCAACAACCACCTGAAACATGGAAGCCTAGCCCTCCGCTTCGCCTACTGTCCTGTCCTATCCCCGAGTCCCACGGATGCCTAGAAAGGGACACTATTGGGGGGCGGGGCTCCTGGCTTTCTAGCCAGTCCCACAAGATCTTCTTTATACATACCATTCCCAAGCAGAATTCACACCCTCCTACCCCACCCTTCCCTCAGACCCCAGGGAGCTGCCTTGATTGAACCAGCCAGGCAACTTAAGAAGAGTAGTCTCTACCCAAATAAGTTCTCACTCTCAAACAGGAACCCCTAAACTTGAGATGGCCATATTTGGAAAGATCCAGTTCTCCCAGAATTCCCCAGGTTGCTGAGCCCAGGGTTAAGAGACTAGGCTATACTTCCTTACTCTGACTTGGGGAATGTTGGGGGGAGGGAGTCAGGGTTGGTCAGAGAGAGGGGGGATTGGTGCTCTGGGATTAGAAGTGTTCACAGATCTTACATTCCATCCTAAGAAGACAATGCTCTGGGCTCCCCTAAGCTTTTCCAGAGGCCGCTTCATTGTCCTGTGTTACCACTGCCCTCTAACCCTTCCGGACTTTAATTTGTCCCTTCCAAACACCCTTTTGTGTGAAGCTCCCTCCCTCTTTAAAAGCTCATTAAAAGAAGGGTAGGTGTTTCTTTTCATTCTTTCTGGAAGTCTGTAATATAATAAATAAATAAATATTTTAAAAAAAACCCGCACGTTGAAAGTTACTTCATGTACTTGAATAAGAAACACAGGCATCCTGGTGTCCGTAAGTCCTGCCAGATTCTGACATTATTTGGAGAAATGTACTTTCAGCAAATGCACCTGGGGTTTGACTCATAACTTGGGAAGGGAGCTGGGGGTCCTGAGAGCCTTCGCAGGGAGCATGCAGGTGTGGGAGGCGGCGGGGGGAGACAGGGGTCGCTGTGTTCCTTCCTCTGAGTGCAGGTCCCCAGCCAAACGCGCGCTTCCTTTTCCCACATGCGGGGGAGGGGGACGAAGGGGGGCAGAGGAGGGGGACAGCTCTCAGACACCGCCATCTTTACCTGGACAGCTGCCCCCACCTGGGAGCATCCTTAAAGAACAAAAGACACACCCCCTAGGGGACTGCTTAGCACAGTGGCAGATGACCAGAGGACCCCCCTCCACTGTCCCCCAGAGTTACCCAAGGTCTAGCTGGTCAGGAACCTCCTCACTTTACACTCTCCTTAGTGCTCAAGGATTGGCCAATCCATCCAAGAAAAGAACAAGAGCTTTCCTGAAAATGACTGTTGTTGGTTTTTTTTTGAACACTCAGGAATGGCCATCCTGAGACTCCTGAGATGATGGGGGGCGAGGGGGGAGGGGGGCATCTGAGAATTTGGTGTCATTTTTTTTGATACTTTTGACTTCCCTCCCCCAGACGCAATGTGCTTGCCTGACAGTTCCTGAAATTTACCCCAGTCCTGACGGAACTTCATGGCACCCTCGAGAGATGGCCTAGGGAGAGGACAGCCCTATTCCAAGGTTCTGAGTGGGCTAGGGAACGAGCCAAAGAGTTTGGGGGCCATCTGAGGTGGGCAGCATGGCCCATGGCTGTGGCTATTTGACCTTGCCTTTGTCCTCTACTCTGTCTACCTTGTCCATCCTGACATGCTCCTAAGGGGCCAGCCTAGCAGCCAGGGGCTCTCGGCTCAGACCAGCTTAGTGCAGCTTCACAGATGCTTTGTCTGAGCTCTGGATTCAGTGCTCCGGCAAACCAGGCTCCACTCTGTGTAAAGGTCCCCCCAGCCATGAGTGGCTCTCCAGCGCACACACCGTGTTTGTAGGTGGCTCAGTAAATGCCAGCTGTGGGGTAAATGTCACAGGGCAGAGTCCTGGCAGGGCCCTGGCCACACACGGCAAACAAGCAGACAAAGGCAAGAAGAGCAGGTCCGGGGGCCTCCGCCCGCTCTGCCCACAAGGCTGGCTCTTGTTTAAAAGTAACATCCCCGTCCCCAATATGTGGGGAGACAAGCTGAGCTGCACAAGAGCCCTCTTCGTCTTCTGTCTGGTCTGGGAACTATATGAGACCTGTGGGGGGGGAAGCGGGGTGGGGGGGACACTGGAGGCAGATGCAACCCAGGGAGGCAAGGCTCTGTCCACAAAGCCCCTGGGTGTAAGCACCGTGGGAGGGGGCATCTGGACCACTTAGAAGGTGTCCTCTCTCCCGTTTCTCCTCGGCCTGCATGCTGGCATGGCCATTCACCTCATGATCCTGCACCCAGAGAACAGGGACCCCTCCTCTCCAAGCTGTCTTGCAGGCTCCCCTGAAAGCTACAGCATAATGGGGGGCCTCTCCGGTCCCCTCTAGATCCTCTGATCCTGCACAAGGCCTCATCCACTATAGCCACCCACCTCCCCTAACAACTCCAACCCCGAGCCCTTGACGGGCCCCGTTAATGTGTCTTGAATAAGTGAACCACAGGAAACAAACGATGAGCTGTGAGCGAACAGTGTGGCTCTAATCCCTGCTTTCTCCGTCTTCGCTGGCATCGCTGATGTTATTTAAACAAACAAAAACATTCCCATCTCATTGTAATTTCAGGGGTGAGGACAAGGGCAGAAGAACTCACCCAGAAGCACCGTTTGGTTAAAGGGCATTATCAAAAGCCCGTGACGGGGACGTTCCCAGGGCTGGCGAGAGAAGCATCTTGGCGTGCAGGGCAGACGGACGGAGTTTACTGAATGCTTACTATGTGCCTGGCCATGGCAAGTCCCAGGAGACTACACCACATACAGATGTTCCCCACTTACCTTCTTCCCTGGGCGCCCCCTCCCCCACACACACGTGCTGGCATGGCGTGGCAAAGGTGTCCGCTCCTAGCAAGGCCCTAGGCCCCTTGAGGTTAATGTAGAAGGCTGAATGTTGCCCCTGCCCCAGATTCAGTGTCGACATTCTCTTTGTCTGGTTTGGTTTGGTTGAGTCAGGGTCTCCTTATGTAGCCTCGGCTAGCCTAGAATTCACTACACAGGTTAGGTGGTCCTCGAACTTGTCATCCTCCTGCCTTAGCTTCCCAAACGCTGGGATTACAGGTGTGCACTACCACACCCAGCTAAGCTTATTCTTTAGAGAGGTGACGTATGTGGACCCTAATGATGGTGTGTGTTGAAGACGCAAAGAACTCACCCTCAACAAAGGCCACGAGAGGCCGGCAGGGAAGAGGCTTGTGTCTGTTTGTGATCTTCTGGGGTGCCGGGTCATGTCCATCGCTGCTCTTCAGGCCAGTGGCGGTGGCGGCAGCAGAGGTCATCTTTGAGGAGGAAAAGAGAGTTAGAAGTGCCGTAAGCAGCACCCCACGAAAGCCGCACTCACGCCCACTTGAGAACCAGGAACACGGTCTCACCTGCTTCTTACAGGAGGAGGGCAACTGGAGTGGTGTGAGCCAGGGCAGGAAGGGGTGCGTGAGAGCCACAGGAGCCTAGTGCCCCCCAACACAAACACCAGGTCAGCCAGGGGCCTGGCAGGACTGAATCTAAGCATCTCAGGGGCATGGTGGGTGGGCAGGCAGCACGGGCAGGCGGCAGACGTCACCCACCAGAACGTGATGAAGAGGGGTTTCAGGAGTCAGCCCCCTGGAAGGCCGACCATCTGAGGCTGGGTGTGAAGAGGTGGAGACACCAGCAGGGCTGGTCCCGTGGGCACCAGGAACCTGTGGGAAACTGAGGCAGTGCTGAGTGGGCTGGGTAGTGAGTGATATCAGGTCCTGGTGGCAGAACTCAAGGTGGCAGGTGAGCAGGGCAGCCACAGGTTGTGGCCTGGCAAAGAAGGCCAGTGAGGAGGTGGAGGGCAGAGGGCAGAGTCCTGGGGGGCTCTGAGCCCAGAAACAGAGACAAAGGAGGGGGCGGCGGGCAGGCTGAGGACGGTGAACAGGGATCACAGTGAGCGGAGAGCCGGGCAGCGGGGGGGGGGGGAATCGTGAAGGGGGGCTGTGGAGAAGCAGGGGCAGGGCCGCCAGGGAAGGAACAGGAAGCAGCCAGACAGAGGCAGCATCCGCAGAGGCTCCTGGAGGTCCTCCACCACAAGAGGCAGAGAAGCTAGCCTGAGTCGTGGGGAGGTGGGGAGGGAAGAAGGGATCATGGGGGGACACAGAACCCCACCCGTCTCAAGAGGGAGACCTGCATGACCAAGGCCGGAGAGACCGACCACAGCCGCCCCTGCGTGCACACCACGGAGACCCCAGGCTTCGGGGCCAGGGGCTCCACTATTACAGGGGTATGGGCAGGGGGGGCTCCACTATTACAGGGGTGTGTGCGGAGAGGGGTGCAAAGCACCCAGGGATGGCAAGTTCGTATAAGAATCAAGGCAGGCAAACCCCACCGACGCACCCCACCCCCTTCTGCTTTTGAGCACTGGACCCTCCCCTCCCTTTCCCCACCCCGCCACCGGCCGCCCTCCTGAGAAGCAGAGGCCGTCGAGGTTGTTGCTAGGTGACAGGTGCCACGCCCGAGGCCAGGACCATGGGCTCGCTCAGTTAGGATCAACTGTGGATGACGGGCTGGACGCGTGAGGGGATGCAGGGGCGCGGCCGCGAGGCCCCGGCAATGGGGCTGGAGAGCCCTGCGCCCGCCACAGCCCGCCCACCGCCCCCCTACGCCTACGCTGCCCCGTGTGGCCCAGCAAGCTGCTCAGGTGTGATGGTCGAGTCCTTCCATTCACTCACCTGCCCAACCATACATCCCACATACTCTTACTGAGCCCCATTCACTGCCAGGCTGGTGCTGTGGGCACCCAGAGGCTGGGGGAGGGGACGGCCTAAGGAACCCCAAGAGACCAGAATCCAAAGTAGTGAGGAAAGGGAGGGAGAGGCTGAGAGAGAGAGAGAGCAGATATGGGGTGAGGGGTGGGGGGGCAAAGAAAGCAATTCTTAGAATTGGGGTGCAGGGAGCTCTTCCTGGCCCCATCCCCCCAAGTCTCCTATGTACTCCAAATTGTCTCAGAGGAGGCTGAGTCCGCAGAAGTCTCTAGAGGTCTGCATCCTCATTCTGAAGCCAGCTGAGATCCTGGGGTGGATAACTGGGAACCCCCTCATTTCTGAGAGCTGAGCACATGGTAAAGGGCCGGCCAGGCCTCAAGACCCCGGCTCTTGCAGACCCCCTTACGTACAGGTTGTTTAGGTCTCAGGATCGGGGAGACTCCTGGTAAATGTCTCCCATACTATCTCAGCTCTAAGATACCTGCTGCCGCCCCCTACCCCCCAGAGGAGGGGCTTCTAGAAAGTTCTCACAGTGACGTTTCCCATTATACAATGACTGATTGGAGGGAAAGGGGGAGCCTTAGGGATGGTTCTTTACTATTTAAAAGAAGTTCTCTGTGGGGAACTGTGATCCTGCTCTCCCATGGTGGGGGGCGGTGGGTGGAGGGCTGTGTGTAGCCCCCACTTCTAGGGCTACAGCCCTGAGTCCTGTCCCAGCCCCGATACTGCTTCATTGTCATTCGACAAGGCTCATTCCACAAAGGACTTTCACCTTAAATGGACAGCCCTCCACCCCGGTAATATTGGGGTGCTGGCTGGAACCACTTCTGACCCTGTATAGTGCAGGACCGTTAGCACAGATTCATTTCCAGAGGGAGGTCCCGAAACTAAAACAGCTTCGTGCTCAAACTGGCTCCCTTCTCTAGGTTTTTTTCCATTCCGCTGAAGGTCTGGCGAGAACCTACAGTTTAATTAGAGTAATTTAATCTTGATTGATCTGCCTTGGGGATAGAAAGGTCCTGATCTGGTGACAAATAAGGAGTAAGTGTCCGCTCAGGACGTGAGTGGGCTCCGGGAAGCTGGAGGATGCAGAGGGCAGGGGGGCACAGAACATGTCGGTTGGACATGAGCTAGGGTTGTGATCCTGATCACACCCATAACACACATCCCCCTGAGCTACACCCCACCCCTTACAATCCTGACAGACTACTAGGCCGCTGAATCCCAATTCTGCCAGTACTCTAAAGCTACATTTGAATCCCCAACTACGTCCTTTCATTTCTTGGCCTGGACAGGGAGAGGGGAATGCGTGTGGGTGCTAGTCTACACTAGCTCTGGGCCTGGGTCACTTGCTAATCTGGGCTATATTCCCCAAGTTCTTGGTAGGGCCTGGTACTGGGGTGGGCTGGGGGCCTGGCACCAGACAGGGGAACAAGCTGGCTGTTGTATGTGTGTTTGGGGTGAACAACAGCACAACAACCCTTACAATACAGACTGTCTGGTCCCTGGTCCCAAGGCCTTCAACTTTCTACCCTTCTGGGGGGACTCTGCTGGGATGGGGCGAAGGCTTCCGTGAGGAGCCCCATCACCTTCAGAGGCAGATCCCAAATTAGAAGTGTGGCTTAAGGACCCTCCTCGCGCCCCCCCCCAACCCCCCGCCCCAGATGCCAGCTCAGCTCATTATGATAATCAGTATGTTTTTCCTTCGCAGACAAAGAAGGCCCCTTATGAGGCCAATATTGGAACCCAGCAGCTACCTCATTAGTGTCTGCGGCCTCTTCCTTCGACAAGGCCCAAGATTAGCCTTTGTTCATTAAGGAAAAAGGTTGGAAAGTGGAATGAGACTGAAAAACCCAGCTGGGGGGCGGCGGGGGGCGGGGGTCATCTGTTCTGTCTGCGATTCATTCATTGCAATGTTCCTTATACCTAGGGGATTTAATCCAGCCAGCGAGGGGGGGGGGCGTGGAGAGGGAGGGGGCTGGAGGTGCAGAGGTTAAACCTGGGAGAGGAGTTAAACACTCCAAATGGGGTGATTTGATCTGGAAGCCGGGATAATCAATTTAAAAGCTTCCTCCTGCTTACTTTCTCTAAACCCAGCCTAACGTGTAAGAGGAAACCTTTTTGCTAGATGAGTTTTTGGTGGGTCTTAAGATTCCCTAAGTCTCCCTTCTAAGTCTCCCTTTTCCTACTTTTTTTTCTTTAATGCCTTTAAAAAAATTATTCTTTTCTTCTTTCTCTCTCCCACAAAGAGCCCTCCTTCTCCCCCTCTTTCTTCTGCGTTGGGTCCTCCCCGTGAGAACCAGGCTTGTAAGAAAGCCTGATTCCAATTGTGTTTTTCTCATGACTTACTTGAGTCCCTCAACTAGTAGTGTCTAGTGCGTGCTTACCTGTGAACTAAACCCACCTGGCCTGCCAGGTAAAGATCTGTGACCCTATTTCACAATTCTCTCTAATGGTCACAGCACTTAACCCTAGCTCCGCTGATTTCTGGGTGCCCAAGGCAGGCCCTGTGAGGCGGGCAGGTTCCCCAGAGATGGGAGACCTGTGGCCTTGAGTTCTGGGGAAAACCTGGCCAGAGCAGGTTGTTCAGCAAGCTACAGGAGAGAAGGCCCAGAAGGACTGTGTCTGGGTGGCCTGGCAGCTGGGAGTGTGTCTAGGTGAACATTACAGGCAAGTCTTTACCTTGGAGCCGCTGGACGAAGGAGAGCAAGTCAGGAAGCAGTGGATTGAAGAGGAAAATTGGAGATCAGGAAGGAAATCAGCAAGTGTGGACAGGCCTTTGAAGAAGCTGGGCTGCGAAGGGAAAACAGACATTGCAGTGGCTAGAATGGAGGAAAGGAGGAACCTGAGGCATCAGGAATTCAGAGGGACACTCAGGATGAAGTGCAGGCCCAGGACAGGTACCCCTGAAGAGGCGATGGAGACAGTGACATGATGGGGGGTGGGGGAGGCAATCAGGAGATGCCACTTCGCAGCCTCTGCTTCCCTGGGAGGTGGCAGGCCGGTCCCAGGCCAGGCCAGGACTTGTGAGGATCAAATGAATGGATCTGTGTAAAAACAAAAGTGCCGGGTCACTTTTACAGTCCACACCAAAGGTGCACGGAGGCCTGGATTTTCATGGACCAGAAATGATTGGTCCAAACAGGAAGGATATAAAGAGCCAAGAGTGAAAAGCTCCTCCAGTCTCTGGAAGACAAAAGATTCCCTCCTAATAGCCTGAATTAGCTCAAAGCAGGTCTCCACCCACTTCACCCGTCACCTTCCAAGTCAGCCTTCCATCTCCATTTCTCACGTAATCCAATCAGCCCCTTTCCCGGGCTAGGAACTATTGTCTGTAGGAAGCTGAGTTCCTCTAAAGCAACTCAGTTGTGGTTTGTTTTTTTGTTTTTTTGGTCTGGTCAAGACAAAACTGGACGGATTAAAAGGGGACCAAAGAAAGTGCTGGTCAAGCAAAGGCCCCCATTAGCTTCCAAGAGACTGTTTTCATGATCTTTGTATCCTGTATCTAGCCTGGTAAACCGGGCACATTGTCAGCATCTCAGGAAATGTTTGTTACCTTAATTCCATTTATACTTATTCTCGAATTGATTTATGGAGCGCAGACACACACTTAGCACCTACTGGGTGTCACTACTGACAGAGAAGAGGGCTGGGCAACACCGCCCCGCCCCTCGGATGTGAAGCATCTGGCAATGTCCACGGCAATTTACAAAGCACTTTCCCAGGACTTCACATCATCTGGGCTTCAGAAGTACCCTGTGGGGTTCCCTAAACCCACTGTTGTTTGGGGCGGCTTTTAATAATCTTCCTTAAGACCATGGAAGGAGCTGAAGGTTGCAGAAGTTAAATGACTTGTTTAAGGTCACTCCTTTACTACGAGGTGAAGCTGGCGCTGCGGCCACGTGGCCGATTCCACGGAGCCTGTGGGATTTCATGTCCCACCCTCAAATGTGTAAAACTCAAGGCCAGCAGCAGCAGAGGGGCCGGGGGAGCCACAGCAGCAGCCCAGGGTCCTACTAAGGCCTTTCTCTTGCTCACAGTATGCCAAAGTGCTCAGCTTCCTCCCTGCAAATGTTAAGTCTGGCCCCAAAGGACTAGGGACTGGGGAGGGGGAGCTCCTGTGTGTGCTCAGGGTTCTCTTTGGAAGGCATCTATCTTTTTTCAATTATGCAAATCAATGTCAAGCTCATCCTTGTCTAACAAGGGGGCTGCCTGGTGACGCGTGCACATACACCAAGGTAACGTGCAGGCTACACAGAAAGTGCTCTGGAAATGGCCCTGTGCCTAAGTAACTGGTGTTCTGACTCAAGTCTTCCCGATGGCCATCTCTGTGGAGCCCCTACCTGGTGCAAGGAAAGCCGCCCCCCATGCGTGGGGGGCTGCCACGGGTCTGTTGGGGAATAAATAAGACAGGTAAGATAAAGGAATGGGGTGGGGACCAATTGGCCTGCAAGCTTTTTCAACAAACATTTGCTGACAGCCTCCTCTCTGCCCAGCCTGGCCCCAGGCTGCTCTAACTCATTTAATTCTCACAACGACCCTAGCAGGTTGCACCTAATGTCCCCATTCCCCAGAAGAGGACAGGGATGTCTCCAAGGATGTGGGCATGCTTGGGGGGTGGGGAGGAGGACAGCCAGCATGCTCATTCCAGAAGCCCACCCCAGGTTGCCAGCAACCTGCCCTTGGCCCAGGTCCCCCTCCTGAGGGGCTCCCAAAGGGATCCTTCCACTCAGGACGTTGTAAGGACAGCCTGGTCAGTCAAGAAGGACCGACCCCCCCTTGGGGAAGGAAGCACTCTAGTTTGCTAGCAGGGGAGCACAAGGAAAGAACACACAAAGACAAGGCACAAGCGCAGCAGAGGTCAGGGGTCAGGACCAATGCCCCCTCACTAGGGCATTGGTTTAGGTCTTTAGTGAAGAGTGGCCGGTGCTCTTCATCTGTGGTCTTCCCAGTCCTGGGGGTCTTCGGGTGGCTGTTCTGCTTGATGGGA